TGTTGCATTGTAAATTTTGGTCAATGACATGAGACAAAGTATATGTGAACTGCTGTATGAAAAGTGAATTTACTCTGTAAATCTTCACCCAAATCAAAAAAAAAAAAAAAGTAGTACATCCATATGGTGGAATATTATGTGGCCATAAAAAGGAATGAAATAGATACATGCTACAACATTAATGAATCATGAAAACATTATGGAAAGTGAAAGAAGCCAGTCACAAAAGAACACATATGATTCAGTTTATATGAAATGTCCAGAATAGGCAAATCTAGCAAGACAGAAAGCAAATTAGTAGTTGCTTTAGGGCTGGGGAGCTCTGATAGTGTAGTATCTAAGGGACTTATTTGACTGCTAACCAGAAGGCTGGCCGTTCAAACCCACCAGCCACTCCTCAGAAGGAAGACTGGGCAATCTACTTCCATAGAGATACTGCCTTGAAACCCAATGAGGGGTCGCCATGAGTCGGAAGCAGCTCGATGGCAGTTTGTTTTGGTTTGGTACACGCATATGCAAAGAAACAAAGTGTACCGGCACAGACAATATATATATAATAATACAATACTGTGTAGAGCGAGGGACAGGTATTTCTCTGTTCTTTCTCTTTCTTGAACTCCTATTATTCAGCCATTACATCTCTTGGTATATTTTCCATCTCTCTTATGTTTTCACTCATATTTACACTTTTAAATAAATTTTTCATTCTATGTTCTAGGGTGATTCTTCAAGTATGATTACTAAATTTTACATTTAAAACTACTAACATTTTAAACAAAACTTGGCAAGGGATATCTTTCTACCCTCCAACTTCTACTGCTAAAAAATATTTGAAAAAAGCTCTATATTGTTTGAAACAAAAAAGCCAACCTCATCTCTTTCAAGCCGTTTTATTCTGTGTAGAATTTCTTTTGCTTTCTTCCAGTATCCTTCAAGATTCTTCTCTTTCACATTTACGTTCTTCAATTGTTCTGCTTCATTTTCATCAAAAGAACATTCTCCTAGTCTTAGAGATAATTTCTCAGCTTTGTAATATGGGAAAAAATGGTGAGTTTCTCCATTATTAAAAATGCTATTTGAATGCTTTTAATAAGGACATTCTCAAACCCCACCTTCTCCAAATTTTATCTATCCAGACTATCTTAACCACCTAACTAGTACTGAAAATAAGTGGAAACAGTACTTGGCAGAGGCCCAGGATCCAAATAATCAATTAGATTGTATCTTTCAGAGTTATAGGAAAGAAATAGCATGAAAATAAGTTATTTCAGACACATAAATACTTAGATACTAGTTTAAAAGTAGTTTTTTCCTATTTTAACAGTTTATATAAAGTGTTTCCTTCCTGTGATTTTTTTTTTTGAGTGCAAGGAGTTTATTAAAGAGGTGATCCCAGTAACTACCACGGCTAGAACAGGAAGTTAAGGAAGAGAAGGTAGCAGAAAGATGTGTTATCAAGTAAGACGCCACTGTGGGCAACTGGAGCTCAGCCTTGATGGGGAATTCTGGTGGACAAGGTGGAGTACAACCCTGCACTATTCTAACCACTAAAACCACTGGACTGTCTATTCACCAATCCACATCCATCCTGGTTAAGGGCAGTTGCCAGCAGCATTAATATTGTGGCAAGGCTGCACATGCTTCAAGAGCCAGGAGTAAAAAAAAAGATTTGGGGCAAAGTCTTTCCTGTAATTTTTTAAATTCCTACAACATTTTCACATATTTAGTCAGAGCAGTTTTTCTGTACAAAGACTAAAATCCTGACCATGGCCCCTGCCTTCTGTGCTCCAGCCACAATGGCCATCAGTTCCCTGACTATACTGGGCCTCCTCCTACTAGAGTCTTTGTGTCTCATTGCTGTTTATGCTGAAGACACTCACCCATCACAGATTCCTTTCTTTTCACCCAATTAAGTTTACATCTTCAGGTCTCAGCCCAAGCATTACATTTTCCTGCAGTCTTCTCTGCCCCAAGTCTAGGTCAGATTTCTTTGTTATAGGTTCTCAAAGATCTGTGTTCCATCTCTTAATAACACATGTCAATTTATAATAATACATTTTTGAGATTATTCAGTTTCTATCTACTTCTCTGAGTGGTGAGTCTACTTCCCCAGTTAAGCTGAGCCCTACAAGTACACAGACAGTGTGTTTTTTGCTTATCACTGTATCACTAATGCCTAGCATAGTGCCTGGCACATAATAGACACTCAAATACATTTTAAATAAATAATGTACTTATGATTTTATAACAAATCACCCTTAACATAAAAATTTAAGTCCTATGAACTAACTTTGTCCACACAGCACAAAATCAGTTAATTATCTATGCAGCTGCTCTGTTTCATATAGGTTTGTACATGCAGCTGTTATATCCAAATTATATGCTCTGCTTTTCAAATGTAAGAAGAGCCTGGTTGCTAAAGGGGCTTGGCTCACTGAAGTAGAAATAAATTCCCCCTTATAAATGCTGGTTGGTATTTTCTTAAAATGACAGCAAACTTACTAATTTTTTTGCAGTTGTAAAGAACGAAAGTGGCAGCTCTGTTAAGTTCCTCGTTCTGAGATTCAGTTAAGGCTTGTATCATAAGTGGAAGCCCATTGTATTTTAAAAAGTCATACCGATTTTCCTCTGAAAAACATCAAAAATCAAAGCAGAAGACAATGATTTATCATGAGCTATCTACATGAGGTCGTAATTCTTCCATGTGATAATTCTGAACATATTTCAACTAAAAAAATAGAGAAAAATCATAGTTTCAAAAGTACTTTCAATCTAGGAATTAATCCACTCACACAAACCACCTAAATATCCTAAGTGATGATCTCTAAAACACAGCCACAGAGCAGTGTCACACCTTGTAAGAGTCAACATAAACAAAAGCCCCTCCTTTGTACTGCTGTTTTAAAGTGTCGTTGTGTGCTGTCTACTTGATTCTGACTCCCAGCAAGCGAACAGGACAGAGAAGAACTGCCCCATAGGATTTCCTGGGCTGTAATCTTTACAGGAGGTCACCTGGCCTTTCTCCTGCAGAGACTACTGGGCTCTACCTGCTGGCCTTACTGCTAGCGGCTGAGCACTGAACCACTGTGCCACCTGAGCTCATTTTTTAAAGTATAAAACCAAAAACACAAATCTGCTGACACTGAGTGGATTCCAACTCATAGCAACCCTCCCTGGGTTTCCAAAGCTGTAAAGTCTTTTTGTTTTGTTTTGTTTTTTAATTTTTATTGTAATTTGGGTGAAAGTTTACAGAGCAACTTCATTTTCCTTACAGCAGTTCATACACATTTTGTTTCATAACACTGACTGCAATTCTCCACAATGTAACAGCTCTCTTCCCACTTCCTCCCTGTAGTTATGTCTTCCCTATGTGCTTCTTTCCTGTGCATTCCTGCCCCCTGAGCTATCTCCCTGTGCAAATACTGCCCTTCTGTTCTCTCATGATTGATCATTCTAAGGAGTATATCTACCTGATGTAAATGCTCCCCTTATATGCCTGTCTATTGTTTGGCAAGAAGCCATAGGAATGAGTTCAATTCCAGGCCTAAAGGGTAACTAGGGGCCATAGTCTCACCAGACTCTATCAGACCAGTAAACCTGGGGTTTTTTAAGGCTGTAAATCTTTATGGCAACAGGTTGCTTCATCTACCTTCCGCAGAGCAGCTGGTAGGTTTGAACTACTGACCTGGTTACCCACACCACCACCAGAGCTCCTTTTTTAGAGTATAGTCAACCCTAAATTACACAGAAGTGAAGAGAAATAGAAAAATAAACTGATGGAGAGAATGAAAAAAGGAGGAAGAAAAAGAGTGGAAGAAGCAACAGAGAAGCAAAGTAGGAGAGTGGAAACGGGTAGAGGGGAGAGAGAGAAGGACTGAGTGGACTGACAGGAGGGGGGAGAGGAACGAGCTGAGAGCTGGAGAGAAGAGCGGACAGAGGAGCAGAGGAGGGCGAGAAAGAGTAGACCAGAGAGGGCAGAGCGTGGAGAGGGAGGACTATGCTAGAGGAGGAAAAACAGCAAGAGGGAAAGGGAAGCTCTAAAGGCTTTCAGCAGGGGAAAACAGGGTCACATCTGAGCAGCAGTATGAAAAGTGGATCGAAACCTGAGGTAAAGAAAAAGCAGCACAGGGGGGAAGCAACTGCAATAGTCCTGGTGAAAGATGCTGAGGGGCTGAGAGAGCAGCACTGGAACTGGACAGAAAAGGATAAGGGAAACAGAAGTAGCCCACAGACCCTGGTGACTGACCATGCAACAGGTGGAGGAGGATGGGGACTTAAAACAACTGGGCTTGAGTGACTAGGAGAAAGGTAACGCTTTCAAGCCTTTCATACAACTAGGGAGAGAAAAACAAAAGTGTATCTTCGTTGTTTTAATAAGCACATTAAATAAATCCAGTACTTACCACAAGCCTCTGTGCAATGACCAAGTGTAAGAATAATGCTGGTTTTCTCTCCTGAATCCAGACTTTCATGAAGCAGTAATGCCAAAAGTTTTGAAACAATGTGGTACTTGGTTAGTATTACCCCAAAAGCAGCTATTAGTATAAAACAACAACAAAAAAAGTAAGTCAAAATTTAAAAACTTACAACTATGCATATACTGCATATCCCTCCTCTACTATATCCTCCAGCTTGTTCTGTGAGAAACAGAGATTATATATTTACATAGTATCTCATATATATATATATATCATATAACATGTATTATATCTGTACTATGTATATGTGAATACACATGCATTGTAGTAAGATAATGGCATGTATAATTCTCATTAATCCCTCTTCTCATAAAGATATTTTACAATTTTTTTTGAAGACTGGTTTCTTAATTGGTCTGTACAATGTTATGACTATTAAGTAATACTACCTACACAAGCAATTCCTCCCTGATAATGAAATACACTATTAACTGGCCTGGCTCTACTGTTAATTATACAGAGAGGCATAACTGAAACTATGGTGAAATGAGACAAAATTAAAGAAATCCACCACTTCAAGGTATGCTTCTCTTCATAGGGCTTTTAACAGAGTCCACCCAGAGTCTATCAATACTGATAACAATAATAAGGTTGTAGATTCTTCAAGGGATTATATCTTAGTCATTTTTTTTTTTATCTCTAGATATCACAGAGAGTCTGGCACAGAGAAGGCCATCAATAACTGATTTTTAAAAAAATCATCTACCCTTTTTCAGAAATTTGTGTAAATATCAATCATTTCTTACAAAGATTCACAAGCCTATTATTCCTCAGTGTCTGTACATGTGAGAAGCAGCCGTGGCTCAAGTCTGATTCTGCCACTCACTAAGGTACAATGGGCAAGTTACACCTCATACATATCAGAAAGAGGCATACCTCTTTCTTAATTCTTTACATAATTTTTCTTAAAAATCTATAAACCGGGTTTTCCATTCCTGCGTCTCCAAATGTCTTTTGATTTCTCAATCTAAAGCATTTAAGTTAATGCTAGTTTTTAAGAGTGAAATAGAGTTTTATCTTGATTCTATCATTAGACTTAAAGTCAGAAGACCTAGATTTGAATCTTAGGGAAGTGTTAAACCTCCATGGGTAAATAAGGAGTTGGACTAGATTGTTTCTGAGGTCCCTTGCAACTTGTGAAAAACTGAAGTCCAGTCCATGTTAATGTACAATCTGCCATTTCAACCTTCACCATGCTGAACTGAAACAAAGTTCAACTGTAGAAAAAGCACTAATATTTTCACTCACGATTATCAGCAATACATGCATCCACTGTCTTTGTCACTACCACCGCCAGGTTAGCACTGGAAAGAGTCTTGTGTGAATCAGATTCCAGTTTCACAAGAACTTGAGATAAGACATCCAGTCCTCCCACAGATATAAAGTATTTCTGGACATTTGCTTAAGGAATAAAGTAGCAAAACTATTACTATCTCATATCAACAAAACAGTGTACTATATACAACATTAACTTGTTAATATGTATTAAAAATCCCCAAATTAGAGAATTTCTGATGTTTACCTGTGTTAAGTACAAAATCATGAAATGGATTACTTATATAAGAATCTCACTTTGATCGAGTATATGTTCAGTATACTATAAATTATATAATAATAATATATAATACTATATTATTTCTTGCTTAGGTACTAGAAATTAGTGAGAACTGGTGTGTTTTACAAGAATGACATTATTAAACCCAATTAAAAAGCACTACAATGAACAGATTTATTCATTTAGCTTGGTATTATAATTAGTAAGATGCCTATTTTTTTAATTCCAACATTACTTGTTCCTCAGATTGCTTGAATCTGAAAAGGGTGAAGTAATGAAACTGTTCCAAAAGAACATGCACTTCATTCCTCTTCTTTAAGCCTGATTTTCTTTACTTCTTGAAGCATAAAACTCTTATCATCAAGACTTATAACAACTATTCCAAGAAAAGATTCAGTGACATATTTTTTGTAAAGTCTGATGTCTTTTGTTTCCCTGTTGAAAATGATTTTGATGGGAGAGTACCCATGGGTCTGGTATTCAGTGGTCTCCACAGTCCTTATCCTAGTCCTTATCCACAGCCCTTGTCCTATGGACACAGAATAAATGATTATATGAACTACTGACTCTAATTCTTTCCAGTCTGCTCTAGTTGCATAAATAAAACCCAAGATGTTTGAAAACAAAAATATACTTGTATATTGTTCAATAGAACACAAAGATCTGAATCTAAAAATTATTTCCAGAATTTTCTATATCTGGGAAAGGCACTATTAGTATTACTTAAGGGCAAGTAAACATTTCAATATGATGGAGATCTCAGAAATAGGTTTCTTTACTATTTGAAGATTTAAAAAAAAAAAAAAAGGAAGCATTTTTAGATGCTTCAATGAAAATAGTACTGTGCTACTACAAAGGTTTTCAATTATAGCCTAGGTTATTCAGAATTATATCCAGAAGGTTCTAGTCCATAATTGCTGATTATACATTGACTATTTCAGATTTCTTCTAATCTATATTTCATACCAGTTTGGTAAGGATAATGATCACTCATTCAAGCTGGCTTTTAGAGCAAGAGGCATGTCAAGGCATCACGGGAATACAATTCAGTTTTGGAATTCCAGAAATATATGCTTTGCATGTGAAACATGACTAGTTGTTTTAAACATCTGAATATAGACAGACACCAGCAACATATGAAAGGTTCCAGTTGCTCCATATCCTCGCCAATATTTAACATTTGTCAGTCCTTTTACTTCTACCCATGCTGGTGGGTATGTAGTGATATCTCTTTGGGATTTTAGATTTTCCTGATGACTAATGATGTCGAGAGGGACAGTGGTAGAACCCTATCGTTCCATGTGGGAGAACTGAGTTCAATTCCTGGCCAGTATACCTAAGCATAGCTACCACCCATCTGTCTGTGCAGGCTTGCATGCTGTTATGACCTGCAACAGGTTTCAGTGATGTTTCCAGACTAAGCAGGACTAGGAAGAAAGGACTGGCAATCTACTTCCAAAAATCAGCCAAAAAATCATTCTGGATCATAACGGTTCACTCCTGTTATGCATGTGGTCATCCTGACGTGGGGGCCGGCTTGATGGCAGCTAACAATAATGATAATTGAGTTTATTTTCAATTGCTCATTTAATATTCATATCTTCTTTGATAAAGTATCTGTTTAAATTTTCGGCCATTTTTTTTTTATCAGTTTGTTGTCTTATTACTGATTTGTAAGAATTCTTTCTTTATTCTGTGTACCAATTCTTTATCAGTTGTATTTTCATCTTAACAGGATCTTTTGAAGAGCAAAAAAGTTTAATTTCAGTGATGTTCCAGTTATCATTTTTTTCTTTAGTGATTTATGCTTTTTGTGTCCTAAGAAATCTGTCTACCCAACCTTGTGAGGATTTTCTCCTACACTTGTCTAGAAAAACCAAAAACCAAACTGACTGCTGTCGAGTCAGATCCAACTCATAGCAACAACCCCTCCTTGGGTTTCTGAGGCAGTATCACTATGGAAGTAGATTGCCCAATCTACCTTCTGAGGAGTGGCTGGTGGGCTTGAATCGTCTAGAAGGTTCACAGTTTTAGCTCTTACATTTATGTTTATGGAACACTTCAGATAAATTTTTGGATTGTGTGAAACAAGGGTTAAGATTCAAATTTTCAATGTACATGTCTACTTTTGCCAGCATCGTTTGTTGAAAGGATTATCTTCTCCACATAATTGCCTTGGCCCCTTTGCAGAAACCAACACCATTCATGTGGGTCTATTTCTGGAGTCTCTACTTTGTTCCATTAATACGTACGTCTCCACTTACACCAATGCCACGCTTTCTTGATTACTGTATAGCAAGAAATGAATCAGGTAATAAAAGGCCTGCAAGCCTATCCTTCCTTCTTTTATAAGTTTTTACTGTCCTAGGTCTTTTACATTTCCATGTGAACTTTAGAAATCAGCTGGTCAATTTCTACAGAAGGGCCAGCTCAGATTTTAATTAGGAATGCCATGAGTGGAGAGCTAGAGCTGAGAAGTGACATTCTAATAATACTGAATCTTATAATTTATGAACATGATCTATCTCCCTGTTTAGTCTTCTTAAGTTTATCTCATCAATGTTTTATAGTTTTCAGCATGCTGAAAATCATACTTATTTCATTAAATATAACTGCAACATTTAGCTTTTTATATTATTGTAAATGATAATGATTCTTTAAATTTCCAATTGTTTGTTGCTTTTGTTGCTGGGTGCCATTGAGTCAGCTCCTATTCACAGCAACCCTATGTACAACAGAACTGTATGTACATGCAACACTGCCACTCCTTTGCCATCCTCACAAACCTTGCCACTCTTGAGCCCATCGTTGTAGCCGCAGTGTCAATCCACCTGGTTAAGGGTCTTTCCCTGTATTTCTAGCCCACTACTTTACCAAGCATGCTATCCTTCTCCAGGTACTTGTTCCTTTTGACAACATGACCAAGTAGGTGAGATGAAGTCTGGCCATTCTCACTTCCGCTACACTTCCTCCACAACACATTTGTTCATCCTTCTGGCAATCCACATATTTTCAGTATTCTCCAGCCACACCACAATTCAAAGGCATCAACCTTCTTCAGTCTTCCTTATTCATTATGCAGCTTTCATATGCATATGAGATGAATGAAAATACCATGGCTTAGGGAGCTCTAGGAGCTCTGGTGGCATAGTGCCTAAGGCATTTGACTGGTAACCAGAAGGCTGGTGGTTCAAACCCATCAGCCACTCTGTAGAAGGAAGACTAGGCAATCTAGGCAATCTACTACCTCAGAAACCCAAGGAGGGGTTGCTATGAGTCAAATCAACTCCATGGCAGTGAGTTTGTTTTTTTTTGGGGGGAGGGGTTAGGTTAGGAGCACCTTAGTCTTCAAAATAACATCTTTGCTCCCCAACACTTCAAAGAAGTCTTTTGCAGCAGATTTGCCTGGTGCAATATGATGTCTGATTTCTTAACTGCTGCTTCCGTGAATGTTGATTGTGGATCCAAGTCAAATGAAATCTTTGACAACTTCAATCTTTCCTCCATTTATCATGATATTGGTTATTGGTCCAGTTTGTTGCTAGTGTACAATTGGTTTTTGTATATCCACCATGTATCCTGACACCTTGCTAAAATCACTTATTAGTTCTAGTAGGTTTTTATTTTTTGTAGATTCTTGCGATTTTTCTACATAGCAAATTACATTTAAAAAAAAGCACAAACCACTTCTGTGGAGTCGGAACCAACTCATAGCGACCCCTCCTTGGGTTTCTAAGGCAGTATTCACTATGGAAGTAGACTGCCCAAACTTCCTTCCTGGATTTGAACTGGTGGATTTGAACTGCCAGCCTTCTGGTTAGCAGTCAAGGGCCTTAGGCACTATGCCACCAGAGCTCCTGAAAATCATGTTAATATTTTATGAACAAACACTGTTTCTCCTTTAGTCTGGCTACAGGATTAATTTTACTGATCTTTACAAAGAACTAGTTTTTGGTCTCATTGATTTTTCTCTATTGCTGTTTTTTTTCCCCCTATCCCACTGATTTCTGTTCTTCTTTATATTATTTCTTCTCATACTTGAGTTAAATTTACTCTTTGTTTTCTAGTTTCTTAGGTGGAAGGCTAGTGTAACTGATCTGAAACCTCTCTTCTCATGTACCTTAATACTACCAACTTCCCTCTCCAAATTACTTTTGAGCATGTTATGTTTTTAGGTTGTATTTTCATTATCATTCAGCTAAAAATATTATTTAATTTCTATTATGATTTATAGTTTGTTGTATGGGTTTGTATCCCACCCCCCACCCCCACCCAGTTCTGAGTTGTTTAATTTTCAGATATCTGGGGATTTTCATTCATTTCTAATTCAAGTTTATTGTGGTCAGAGCACACACTGTGGACTTTTAGCTTTGCTATCTAGTTGCTCTGTTTCATGAGGGCCTTTGGGGAGAAAGATTTACAACTATGCTGTCACCATCACCTCTTGAATATCCTCGTGACAATACCTGCTTTTCAGATTTTCCTATCTGCAATTGTCTCAATGCATCCAAAATGACACAATTATTATGCTTGGAAATGTTTCCTCAAGCATAACCTAAAGAATAATGAATACTTACTATTATTTGAAAGAGTGAGTCCAATAAATGAGCAAATAGGGCGAATTATCTCAGATTTCATACAATTTATTATCCACTCATTAGCATGTGGAAAAAGGGAGCAGCAAATTGTTTGATTGTCATCTGAAAGGAGAAAAAGTAAACCACGTTCTAATAGAACATTTGAAAAACATCACTTGTGAGAAATTAGAATCTCACTTCTGTTTTCATCTTTATTTTCACATTTCAACATTTGAGATAATTACCATTTTGAGGATTGTTGACACAGACACACAAAGTACTGCACACTGAAGACCACAACTGGTAACTCTGGAAAACATTTTTATCTGACAAATTCAACTCATATTTTGAAAGTACTGTCCTATTCAGTTAAAAAAAAAAAAAGTAAATTAATATAAATGTGCTAAGGTCTTAAGTAATGAATAATTAATAACAAGAAATTTATATTTGCTTACCTGAACAACTGTAACAGAACTGAAATACAACCTGTTTCTCTCACAAGTGTTTGTCCAGCTCCTTAAGACAAAAACAAAAACAAAAAAAACAGGTTTTATTATATGAATATGACTTTTTAAAGAATTATTTTAACAAATAATTAACTTTTAATATTTTTAAAAATGAAGTATTACAAAGTATAACACAGGACTCTAGTAGATAAAAATCTATAATCATTATGGAAATGAAACACATTCCAGATGGAATTAGTAAGTATGTTGACACATTGTGAAATGTAGCCAATGTCACTGAACAATTTGTATAGAAATTGTTCAACGAGAACCTGATTTGCTATGTAAACTTTCACCAAAAACATAACATTTTTCTAAAAAAAATATTATTCTGGGAAATATGATGCATATGATTAGAGAACAATAGCATTCAAATTTTCTCTAAACAGGGCAAAACAGTTATTTTGCATCATGGTTCTACATTAAAATACCAAAATAAGCTCCAAAATAGAAAAAATAAATTCAACCTTTTCTATATTTTCCAAAGTATGAAAAATCTAGAAGTATTTTAAATGCTCACAGAATTTTTAACAACTTGAAAAATTACATACAGACTGCTAACCAGAAGGCTGGCGGTTCAAACCCACCAGCCACTCCTCGGAAGGAAGGTTGGGCAATCCTACTTC